AGAAGGAATAGGTAAGACGGAAAATACTGTAATGACTGGAGCTGCAAATGATGAAGTGGAGCAGAAGAAAACATGTCCTATCAGAGTGGTAGGCAGGAAAAAGGCTGGACTTCTGGGATTGGCTCTCCCACATGAGGACACCAATAGGTCTTTTGTTTTCCTTGCTTATGGAGTGGCCAGGAGGAGCACACCCAAAATATAGGATGTTCAGCTCCTTATCTGATGGAAAAGTTTTTAGTTTTTGGTTTGTTTGTTTTTTTCATAAATAACAATACTATCAAATAAGGTCCTGCTTGGACTTTCCACGATCATTGTTCTGAATCCCTAGGGGATTTTGAAATCTTCCCAAGTGAACTTCTTCGTCCAGAACTGGATTTAAGTTTTTAGTCACATTCACAGGAACCAGATGTTAAACTTCTGTGTGATTTTATAATTTTTTTAAAAAATGATAACTGAACAGGAACACTGTATTTTCACTTATTGTTTTCTTTACATATAACAATACATTTTATTACATCAGCTAATTTATTTAAAAATGTTTAAAACTCTCTTACAATTTCTCCTTCTCTTTTCTGCTTAATCAAAACAATGCAAACACTCATCATAGGAGCACAGAGATATATATCTGTATAAAAGTCCAATCTGCATATGCCTTATGCTTGTTTGAAGGTCATCCTAAACTCAAATCAATTGTAAATTTGACTTTTTCTTGCCTCAAGAGTCAAATCTTTGTCACCCATGAAGCATGCTAGATGTGGCCTTAAAACTGGTCCATTTCACAGGATAGTAAGACAGCCCTGATAAAATTTTGGGTAATCCTTTGGGTAAATTGCTTTGAATGTCTTAAGGAAATGATGGGACAAATTGAATAAAAATTTAATAAGCAATAAAGATAATGTAGCACTTCTATACATAAAACTTCATTGTATCTTAAAGCAACATTTGTTTCATCCCGACAAAAACTCCAGATAAGAGGTTCCTTAATCAGGTGAAAATTTACCACCCCAAAGGTACGGCACAGTGGTTTCATGGAATTCAGACAGAAACTTGCTTCACATGTAACACAAGCTAAGATCAATAATTCTGCTCTGATCCTATAGAGAGATGGAAGAAATCTCCACATGAGAGAAACAACTGAGAGAGAGGGGGAAAATAGGGAGGGTAGAGATAGTGGTGATTCTTACTGTGGTACGAGCCACCCCAATGGATGAGGAATTTGCCCAATGGCACCAGGAGACAATGGGTAATAAGGAGACAGTTCTGAAGGATGAGGTGGTCGGGGAATCCCTGGTGGTGAAAAACACATAGAGTGTCATAGTTAAAACAACCATAGTGAACCTGTAACCCAACTTTCAGTTGCTAACTGGAATCCTATCTTCCCCTGAGTCAAATAAATATGAATGCCCTCAACCCAGAATTTCATAAGGCACCTCTTCATAAAGCTGCCTCCATGATCTGTTTAACTTTATTCCCTCCCAGCGCATGTATCTAACTACAGTTGTCCCTTCCGATTTGCGAGGGATCCATTCCAGACACACGCCCCATGAATTGGAAATACTGCCAATGTTTTCAGTGGGCGCGTGCTCCTGCGCACAGTCATGTGTGCCGCGTAGACACACATCATTTTATCCCTTCCCACGAAGGACCAAGACTGCAGACTTCAAGTCTGCAAATGGGGAGGGAAGACTAGTTATAATTTACTGCCAATTCACTATACACAGGGTGGAATTTTTCTGGGGAGTGGCACAGAGCTGTTGTTAGTTTATAAGAACTCACCTGTCTTTGGGTCAATCTCTGGGGAGAGATGGGAAGGTGGTGAACCTGGTGAGAAGTGGTCATTGCTGTACGTGATGAGTGGTGTCAGTGGATGCATGTGATGTGCATGTTGCACCACAGGAACTTTATTTGACTATAAGACAAAAGCAAGTGTTTATTTGCATTTCAATGTATAATTCATTTCAGGGTTGGGGGAAAAACAAACAACAACTGATAACCCCTGTTTTGTTTTGAGAAATTATTCCCAACTTTCTGCAATTATATCCAAGAATGTTTCTTAGAAAGGTTGTCGATGGTTAGTCTGAGCAAAGACATGAGGGTGCAATTAAAAAGGCCACAGACTTTTACACTTTGTATTTAAAGATAAATCCTCCCGACGAGACCTACAACAAAATCTGAAACCACAAGATATAATATAAAATAATAAAAGCAAAGATAAAGATAGCTACAACAGTAAAAGTCTGAAATTAACAATTAGAATCTGATAGCATCACATAAACAATGTGTGTCTATGTGCCTTCAAATCACCTGTCAGACATGGCGACCCTATGAATTTCATAGGGTTTTCTTAGACAAGGAATACTCAGAGATGGTTTTGGCAATTCCTTCCTCTGAAATATAACCTACAGAAACTGGTATTCATTGATGGTCTTCCCATCCAAGTACTAACCAGGACCAACACTGCTTAGCTTCCAAGATAAGATGGGATTGGGTGCCTTATTTAGGCAACTCACATAAACAGTAGTGCCTGATAAAGTTCTAACTGAAAATATTTTTACATATTTACTTATGATATAAATGTTTTAGAAGGTGCTTTTATTAGTAATAATCTACTGCTTAAGTGGCAAAATTAAGCAGTCTGAAGACTTTAGAGTTTTCCAGTGATGAGGACGGAGACATCCTAATGTGGGTTGCTCCCTCCTTATTACTCCACTAAGCAGGAAGCATACTTTGAAGGACCTGCCCACATAGGAGGAGCAGCCATCCCTTTGTCCCTCAGTCTAGTTCCTGCCTCTGCTCCAAATAGGTGTCTCAGGGTCTCTCCTCTACTTCACATCTTGTTCTCAATCTTTTCTCAATCTTCTTCCTTGCTTCCTTCCATTGCTTCTTCATCCCCATCCCATAACCCTCCCTATGCTTTTTAAAAACAAACATATAAAGAAAATCTTTCTGTACTTTCATCCTCTTCTTTCATCTTTTGCCCCACCTATGCTACATGCTCTCCTGAGGCCAGAGGCTAGTTAGGATGGAGCAAAGGGGCTCTATTGGCAACAGCCCAGGCATGTCAGGGGAGGAAATTGTGTCTATACCGGTCTCTGGGACTGGGGGAGACCAAGTCCCATGTTGTAGGAAGCACAAAAAGGAAAGCAGCCAGAGAGGAGGAGGGCGATTCCGCCCACTGCAGCCATGGGAGCAAGTGTCACAGAACAGGACCCCGAATGGCAAACCCAAAGGATTCAGAGCAGGGTGTGAGTATTCAAGACCCCCTTGCCCACATTTTGGTGGGCCATGCTGACTATGGGGGATTCTGTGTTTGGCTCAGGGCATTCATCACCAACAAGTCAGAGGGTGCGAATGTCCTAAAGATTTCCTGCAGCCAATCATGTCACCCCTCCCTGCCAGCTTCAAGCAAAATGCTGCAGCAGCACACCAGCCAGCAGACTGAGGCTCCACGCCCCCGGAATAGGAGGAAATAATTCTCCTCACCCTCATCCTCCCCGGACAAAGAGGTAGCAAGCCTCCTCTCAGAAAGAGCAACCTTCCGCCCCATTGCGTCTAGAGGCAGCACCACATAGGGAAGGGGACAAAAACAAAAATGATGGCTGTTACGACCAGCAGACCCAAAGGGAGTAGGAAGAAAGAAGGCAAGCATCCCCACAGCAAGGCTGGCCTCAGTAGTAGGGGGCAAGGCAGGAAAGATGGCTAAGTGGCACAAAACTCACTCTTTGGATGAGGAATCACTTCACCCTTGCCCTCAGTTAGAGGAGGGGGAACTATGAGGAGAGGTGGTGGGCCCAGAAACATCCACCTCCATAAGATTCTTTCATAGTGAGCATTTTATTATCTTCCTACATAAGGCATTAAAAACCCTAGCATTACCATGCCCCATAGATGACAATAAGACAGAGGATAATGACTTCCCCCAAGGAAAAGGGGAGTCATTCTCAAAATCGGGACCATCATCCCTAGATATACCCTTCACAGCAGATTTTATGAAGGTGGTAAATGAGGAATGGGTGAAACCAGCATCAACAAAGCCTCAACCCATGGCAGCCAAAACATCTACAACCTGCCACAGCAGGTCCTGGCAAAACTACAAGTCCCACTTGTGGATACTCCCATATCTGCGCTGGTCTCGTCCTCAATATACGCCAGAGATGGCAAGGATGCCTTTAAAATACCAGAAGAAAAAAGGGCCAATGCTGCCCTGAAGAGGTCATATGAAGCATTCTCACTTTCCATTAGAGGGGGAGAGGGCAGGAGCATGGGGTCTTGTGTGGAAAAGGAAAGAATGAAGGGCTTCCAGGCCCTTCTTTTGGTCTTTGCCAGGGGAATCTTCCAGCCAACCCCCACCCAGCATACCT